ATCCATGGTTACAACTTCAGATAAAAATGAACACATAATGAAATATGACCCCCGGTTTGATGATTGACAGGTCACAGAACAATGGGGGCTATCTAGAGGAGAAGGGGGTAAGTTGAGCCAGTGGGTAAGTTGAACCACCCCCTGTAACCAGGCAACGCCTTATAGTTGTAATCAAGTGACCAGAAATTATGCAAGCTCCACCCATTTATCATTGCCTGTGAAAGAGAGATACTCATTGTGGTCTGGTAAGTAAACATTTTTACAAAAAAACGTTTTTTGCTTGTCAAAGTACATTTTCTAGATGTCAGCTATATCAGCTGTCATGTCAACAAAAAAGTATCCAGGTTTAAACACATATATTGTATATGTTGATGTGTTGGCACCGTAAACCATGTGAATCATTAAGCTAAAGAAAATTTTAATGCTAGGCTATTTTTTCTAAAATGGTGGCTATGGGGTAAAGTGAACCATGGGCCTTGGGGTAAGTTGAGCCAGTTTTTCAATGGAGAAATTAATGACAGTAGGCCAAGTTCATAATAAGAGCTCATTGTAAGCTACATTTAAAGTTGAATTTACCTTGTGTTTGATTGGTAAGATGTATGAAATTGTATCACCATTTGTATGATTACTTTTCCTTTTAAGATGTAAAAAACAAATCAATCAATTCAATCGAAATTTATATTAAAAATATTTGAAAAACTAAGCTTGTATTTGGTTTGTTATTTATTGTTTATAATTACCTTTAAGATTTGTTGGAGGTATGCCCAGGTTTGAACAGGTATGCCCAGGTTTGAACCGTGGTTCAATTTATCCCCTGACCTGGATCAACTTACCCTGGGGCAAGTTGAGCCACAAGACTCTTTTTTTTTTAAGAAGTAATATTTTCACTGCCGTTGATCAAATATTAATTATTATCATTGCCATTGATAGGAGACATCCTGAATTATAGGTGTGTGTTTTCATTTTTACTATGTGTCATTTCTCCTTGCTTAGAGGACAGCGCATAACTAAAAAATGGCTCAACTTACCCCACTCTCCCCTATAACGTAGAGCGCTTTGAACACTTGGAAAAGCGCTAAATAAATAACATGAATTGTAATTATGGCTGTTCTGATGCGGGACAGCTTGTCTGGTGGCAGTGAAGCTTGCATCAGCACACTATCGAGATTGATACCGAGAATTCTAGACGTGTGCATGAGCATAGAAACGGGAAGGAAAAAAAAATCTTAGTTGTTATTAATACTCTTGACAGAAGAATCGTGAGGAACTAACGGATCAATAAAGAAACGTTGCTAGAATATTTCCTCCTAGCACTAGGCTAGGGGCCTGTCATGTTTTTTAAACGTTTAAATAGCAGCACGTGTAATACTCCTGGCTCCTTCAGTGCAAACTTCAGTCTTGAGTGCATGTTTTTACCTTTGGGAGCCAGCATAACCTGCTAAGAAAACCTTGTTTTAAGACTGTGATAAGGTCATTGACAAACATCTGTGATTTTGAAAGAGCTTTGGAAACGATTTTCAGCATGAAGCCACCTGAGGCACACCCAGCAAGGGGGCAGAATATTGCAGGTTGAGCTTAATTCCTGTGGGGAAAAATCTTTCTTTGATAGGTGATTAAATGTAGGCTACATGGCCGCTTGGCAGAGAAGGATTCATTTTTTTCATAGAAGAGCCACTGTAGATCGAAGTCTAAAATGATATTCACAAATGTATCGAGCTTCCCTTCCTATTCACGTAACAGAAATTGATTTGATTTATTTAAATTTTAAATTTAATTGATTTATAGTAGTATAAATACTTATAAACTTACAACTTCTGTATAATTGCCTCAAATACGACTTACTGCAGGCCAAATATTTCCATAATAAAACATTGCTTATGCAGAATAGTATTATATACCTGTTAGATGCGATTCCTGAGGAATTGCTGCTGCAGGGGGCAGCTATATACACACAATCAACAGACGCATTTGTACATATGCACACATTAAGACATAAATAAAAGCACAAAAATCAATATACAAAATAACAGTCACTTCAAAATCTTTGAGAATGTACATGTATGCAAACTGAAATGGGTCCAGAGAGGGGGGAGGTCAGATTTGATTTGCTTCATGACTAGCCTCTCAAAGCACTTCATGATGGTTGAAGACAGCACTACGGGGCGGTAGTCATTGAAGCAGGAAGGTGATGACTTCTTCGGCACAGGTTTGATGGTGGTTACCTTGAAGCACGAGGGAACAGCAGCCTGGCTCAGGAAGATGTTGAAGATGTCTGTGAGAACGTCTGTGAGCTCAGCGGCGTGTTAAAGGAAACCTATTATGCAAAATCCACTTTTTCATGTCTTTTATACATAAACATGTGTCCCCTAAAAAATATTTGCTCACTTTTTGTCCTGATCCAATTATATAAAAAACGAGTGCTTGTGTAACCATTAGCCAATAACCAACCAAAGTAACCCTATCACCTTATCACCTGAATCTCCTCCTAAAGCACTATTGTGTTCTTTTTAACCAAATATTTTGCAGAGGGGCTTGGGGAGTGGGACCTTATTTTCATCTAAAGTAAAAGACACACGCTCCTCACACTGCTTGGGGACAGACAGATAGCCTGGTCGTTGTTGTTGTTTTCTGCGCAGGTGGGCTATTCTGGCTTCAAAGCGTGCGAAGAAGCCGTTGAGGCTGCTCAGCAGAGTAACAGGTCTGTGGTGATAGTATGTCCATATATTGAGATTTTTTTTTTTTTTTCCTGTGGCGCAATGAGGCTTCCATAGTTATCACTGTCACAGGTCTGTGGTGATAATGATTTGTTCTGCATTTGGGACTTGTACTGGTGCCAAATCCCATCGGATTGAACCACTTCAAAACGAGTGGAGATGCCGGGGATTGAACCCGGGGCCTCATACATGCAAAGCATGCGCTCTACCACTGAGCTACATCCCCAGTTGCACAACGAGTGGACGTTACATCAATAAATACGTCTTTCGTCAAATATTAGAAGTTAATATTAGACGAACAAATAGTACAGTAGGCTACCACTAGTGCAATACATAACATGAAACAACTGCAAAATATTAAGAATGAGCTCGTCCCAGGACCTTAGTATTGTGCATGCTATCCTTTTTTTGACAATGTGGGGTAAAGATGGCTCTTCACTCTATGGAGCCTCACTGACACGATCGTTTCAAGAACAATGTTCCCACAGTGCATTAACATTAAATGTGTCTAAATATTTGAACCCTACACAATAAAGGATTATTATCAGTGACACATTAATATTTATATACACTATATAGTTGAACCTATGCACGTAAGGAGCAATATGTGCCTAATACCTACCCAAAACCAAGTTTTGATTTCAAAGCTCTGTGCCCCTGAACGGGTCTCACTTGTGGCTGTTTCTTATTGGTGCAGAAGTTTATTAAGACACGTCAGGTCTGCCACGGAATGCAGCCAGGAGATTGACAGCCCTGTGACCAATCATAGGACGAATTCAAAACCTTCGTTGCATGACGTCACGAAAGAACACCCAATCACAGCTCAGGATTTGGGAGGCGCCGGTCTGTTGACAGGAAGTGTACAGACATGGGCGGAATCACCCCCACAAACCATCGGTGCTTGTAGCTATAGACTGACTAACAGAATATGTCATATTCGTCTTACCTCTGACTTGTGTGGACTTAAATTATGCGTTTTAAGATCGACCCGGGGCAAATATGCAATGGAGGTCAATAGTTGTTGGTTTGGTCGTATTGAGACTTTCCTTCAGCTGTGTTATTTGGCTAGCCTTTGGACTCGGTCCTAACGTTAGCTGGGGATTCAACTTCCCACTCAGCTTCAGTCTACACAAATTAGACTTGTTATTCGGGGATGAAAAAGGGACCGACCCGAGGCGTAACTCGTGGTCTCAACGAGTACATGTCCACAGACATGAAGAGGTGGCGACCACCTGTGCAAAGGTTGGAGAGGGGTCTCCCGAGAGATCCTACCTGAGCTTCTTCGACAGCAACAGGGACGAGTACTCCCGCAGATACAGCTCCTTCCCGGACACTCTGAAAGCAAAAATGAAGGACATGGCCAAAGAAATGTTTTATTTCGGGTATGACAACTACATGAAATACGCTTTTCCCGAGGACGAGCTGAATCCCATTGACTGTGAAGGAAGGGGACCAGACGTGCTAAACCCGTGAGTCATTTAAAGATGTCCTCTGTTTGCACCGGCTGGTTCATTTTGTTCTTTAATTTAATAAAGTATTTGGTTACACCCCGAACTGACTGGCACCTGTACAGTACAGCCTGCAGGACACTCATTTACATCCTAACTGTCCACTGCAGAGTGTACTATTTGCATGCACTTTGTTATCATATTATCATGTTGTAAAATCCTGCTGTCCACTGCTGCCCAGCCATGAACAGGTTATGTTTCAGACACTTTTATATGGAACAGTCCAGTATGTCCCAAACTGGGATCCAGCAATCCCTAAAGGGATCTTAATGGCCTCTAGGGGGTTTCTGTTGATCATCTTTATCACTTTATATATTTAAGTTTTAAGGCTTAATGGAAATATGAAATCTAATGAACGTGGAGAAGGAAAAAACTACCAAACATAAGGGCTACAATAAACTGTTATTTTGTATTATCGTCTGAATATGTAATCATTTCATTGTTTGCTCTATCAAAGTTGAGTAAAACCAGAAGTAAAACTAACCGTTATCTGGTTATTTCCTCAAAAGTCATAGAAAACCAGCAAATATAAAACGTGTCAAGCTGTAACCAGTAAATATTCTGGTAAAAATTACTTGAAAGATAAAATAAAGATCATTGTTTATTAACTACTTGGGATTTTCAAACATCAAACTCAACCTAAGACAAAACTGATGAATAAATTCAGAAAGCATTAAAAGTATTTCTAAAGCCCAATACCCAGTTTTTTTCTTTGCTCAGTGGAGTTAAAAGATGCACATTGTATGCTTTTTTTTTTTTAATTGAAACAAAGACTAGAATTCCAATATCTTCCAAAAGTTTAATTCCCCTTCTTTTATCTGAGCCTTTCGGATTCAACTGTTGTCCTGTTTCTATACAATGTGATACTAATCCAGTTAGGATTCAAACGTGTGGAATAGAAAAAAAGACATATATGTTAAATTACCTCATGTTTTAACAGATGCTAATTTGACATGTAAAATGCAGGTCTGTGTTTGTTTCTACAAATTAGAGAACAACATGCAGGTTTTAACCAACCTCTTCTCTATGAGGACGCATGTTTTACTTAAATGTGTGTATCCATTGGTATGTGATTGACAAAAAAGAAGTTTCCATCACAGACGTAAAAACACACCTTTCCTCGTTGAATTGAAGATTTACTCTCTGTTTTTATCGTCAGTTAATTATTTGGTTCTCTTTTGCAATGACACCACTATGTCTGTTCCACTTCTTTAATTTCAGCTCCAACATCAACATAAATGACGTCTTAGGGAATTACTCCCTTACTCTGATTGACACCTTGGACACCCTGCTGGTAAGGTTTACTGTCTTAATGTATTACAGTAGTACACTGCAAAGTCAGCAGAGTGTTTCTTTCTCATTGCTTTCTCACCGAAAAGACTCGAAAACAGAAATAGAATCAGTGCAGGATGATAAAAACAATTTGACCCAGTAATTAGTACTGGCAAATGATAATATAATCCTTTTTAATTAGGTAATAATAAAGCAGCTTAAAGGAATTGATATAGTACAAAATGTTTTCCCCCGTGGTTATAACAACACCTGTTTTTCATAAACCTGTGTTTTGGACTACATTTGGTGGCACAGTGGTTAGCTCTTCCTGTGTGTAAGTCATGTGTTTTCTGCCACAATTGTGTGTCACTGTGTCAGCCCTAAAACTGACATTACATGGGAACTTCTAAAGTACAACCATCTTTTCTCTTTTCATTCACAGTTAAATAAACTAACTATTTTTATGGAGTTCTAACTTGATGGCTAACATTAATCATTTGAGCTTTTTTACAATAGTTGCCATCCACAATTATAAAAATAGAATGTCTGAAAGTCATTCAGTAGGTATGTGTTTAAAGAGTTCTGTTCATACAGTATACTGTGGTTACATAATGTTGTGTTTCTCTACAGGTGCTCGGAAATGTGACCGAGTTCCAGAAAGCTGTCAAGCTGGTTATAGATACTGTATCTTTTGACAAGGACTCAACCGTGCAAGTTTTTGAGGCAAACATCAGGTACAAATGTTTCTATTTTAAGACTTGTACAGATTCTGCCTAGCATGCTGTAGGTCAGGTCTGATTCTTAATTCAACACACAAGAGCATTATTTGCTTTTTAGGTGTTTTAGATTTCAGTATAAAACCTCCTAAAGCTGATTTATTATTAAAAAAGGCAAGGTTAAAATACACAAATATTGTAAGACTAAAAACCCAGAACTAAACTGAAATTACCATTTCAGATTGATTAGATTTTTGTTCATGTATTGTGTCTTGATATTTGTCCATGTTGATGTTACAAATGGAGCTGCTGTGATGCAAGTCAAATTTCAGACTTGATCATTAGAGTATTATCGTATCGTAGATTGATTTTCTTTATGTATTCAATAAGGTTACACTAAAATTAAAATGTCTTCAATGTTTAAACTTTAGAAACAGACCCATCAATACGTCACCTTTAATTGTAAAAGCATGATATAAGAAAATACATTTTTTATCTTCTTTTTCATAATCTCTTTCTGTGTTGAATCCCGATTTTATATTTGTCTTTTCCCTTGAAGGATCCTGGGAAGCCTTATCTCGTCTCACATCTTGCTGACTGACCCCAAACATCCGTTTGGAAAGGTCGACTATGAGGGTTACGATAATGAGCTTCTTCACTTGGCTCATGACCTGGCTGTCCGCTTGCTGCCGGCCTTTGAGAACACCCTCACAGGCATCCCTTACCCCAGGGTGAGTGAGACCGGAAAATTAAAATGACTGTTTAAATGTTACCTGATGGTGTGACAGGGCTGCACCATTTGTAAAACAAAATAGTTTTTATTGTTTTGATAAATATTCCAATTGTGATAGGATTTGTGATGTAAGAAAGACAATTATTGGTAAATGATTCACATCATCAATAAAGAATATGTTCAAATATAATTTTAGAGGATATGAACCGAGTAAGGATCTTTCATTAAGCCATTAGAATACTGTTTGTAGGCCCTGAGTTCTCTGCAGCACCACAATACACATAATATATGATATTTTTACATATATACCTGCCAAATACTGTACTTACTGCGATTGGATATTAAACGTCCATATTGATATTCCAATAACATCTCCAATAATTGTGCAACCCCAAAGTACCGTAATTTTCGGACTATAATGCGCACCTGAATATAAGCCGCAGCAGCGGCATACCACTCTCGGTTCCACTTTTACTTTTGCGCGCTACCTGTCTCACTCTTTTCCGGCCTCCAGCTTTTCCTGCTGGAACCCGCCGCTTAAAGGTGGGGGTCCGCGGACCGGCCATAGAGCCCATAGAGTTAAAGGTGGTGGCCGTTAGCTGTAAAAATCAATAGATTAGCCGCGCCGCTATATAAGCCGCAGCGTCGAAAAATGGGGAAAAAGGCGCGGCTTATAGTCCGAAAATTACGGTATACACAGAAAAGTTACATGAACAGTCATGATGAAGCTACCTAAAGTAGGTATCATGTGAGTGAAGTAGCATGACCCCCCCACAAACCACACTGAAAGAATCAATGAGCAGCATGAGGTCTAAAACCACCAGACTCGGGGACAGTTTCATCCCACAGGCCATACGAATGTTAAACACTTGAACTTTTGAAAGAACATACATAACATTCATCTGTTTGCAACTCATATATATATATAATATATCAATTTTCCAATTAATGTAGACTATTCTGCACAGTTTCTAGCACTGTTGGAGGAGCCTGTGACCTAAGGTTTTCATTGTCATACCTACACTGCTGTAGCTATGCACACATGGCAATAAAAGCCTTGAAGCTTGAAATGACACTCATCATCTTGATTCATTTGTGTCTCCATTAAAATGCAGGTGAACCTGAAGACTGGCGTTCCTCCTGATAGCATCAATGAGACCTGCACTGCAGGAGCCGGCTCCCTGCTGGTGGAGTTTGGGATTTTAAGTCGCTTAATTGGAGACTCCACATTTGAGTGGGTGGCCAGGCGAGCCGTCAGAGCGCTGTGGAGCCTGAGGAGCAACGAGACCGGTCTGCTAGGTAAGCACTGGCAAGAAAAAACGTTTTCTCCTTTATTTCTAAAGTTTCTATCCAGCATGGTTGGGTCTACTACATTTAAACATGATGCCTATAATAATACATCATTGTTCTTCTCCAGGGAATGTAGTAAATATCCAAACAGGTCAGTGGGTTGGCAAGCAGAGTGGTCTGGGAGCTGGTATGGACTCCTTCTATGAGTATCTGCTCAAATCATACATCCTTTTTGGTGAAAAAGAGGATCATAGGATGTTCCAAGATTCTTACGAGAGCATTCAGAACCACATGAGGAGAGGGTGAGTCTCACACTGAATGTGATACGTGTGCATTTGAGTGTTTGTGGCTTTAGGGAGCTTCACAAGAAGTTGGTCTTGAAAGCAGTAACTATCTCAGCTATTTACATGAATCTCTATCCATAAGTGGCAAAACAAAGAGAAAATAAAACTGCTCATAGTTTCCAGTGTTGCTTGTCTTGCTGGAAGATGTGGAAAGCTGAATTAGGAATCCTAACACTTACTCCACCACTGAGTTGCCATTGAGCAATGAACATAACATAAACCAATCTAGTTTAGCTGGTCAGTGGCAGAATGAAGCTGTTGCAGTGTGGGCCATTCAAATCTACAGTAAAAACATATGATTAGGATATTGATGATAAAAGCAATCATACACAATTTAGAAATACGATCCTGATGAATTTCCATTATCTGTATAATTCTGAGCATCCTCACACAAGTTGTTATCATAGAGAAGTGAAAAATAGAGCCTGACTAAAAAAAATACAGGAATTATCATGTACAGCAAGAAAGAACAGACTTACACTTTGATGCTATACAAATATATGCTTTATGATGATCTTATTTATGATTGTCCTTTGCCTTGTTTTTCAAACAAAAAGGATGTTAATTAAAAAAAAGTGTGTCCTATCTGTGATTGAATAAATCATGTTTTCTTAACAAAATGTAAAGCAAAGTTATTAAAGTATGTTTTAATACATATTTTAGTAGTTCAAATAGCACATTTTGATACATTGGATCAGAATAATATGGTGAAACGCAATTTCTTTGTCAAGGATAAATGTGGCATCATTTTGATGTAGTTCCATGCTTGATAGGACAAATTGTGAACCCCTTTTCTGGCTCTGTGTTTCTCCAGGAGAGAGTCATGTAATGAAGGAGAGGGCGACCCGCCTCTTTATGTCAACGTCAACATGTTTAGTGGTGAGATAATGAACACCTGGATCGACTCCCTTCAGGCCTTCTTTCCTGGGCTGCAGGTGAGATTACAGCTTTGCCAGGTCTTATATATCAGTCTAAAATATGTGTTGTTGCAACAACTAAAGTTAGGTGTTGTTGTGGGTGTTGTAGGTGCTGAATGGGGATGTTGATAATGCAATCTGCCTGCACGCCTTCTACTATGCCATCTGGAAACGCTTTGGGGCTCTGCCGGAGAGATACAACTGGCAGCTGCAGGCGCCCGATGTGCTCTTCTATCCTCTGAGACCGGAGCTGGTGGAGTCAACATATCTGCTGTACCAGGTAACATTTACTTGCCTGTTGTAACGCAGCATTGGTGGCGGTGGTTTGTTATTCTTCACTCAAAAGTTATTCTTCTTCTCTTCCCGACAGGCGACCAAAAATCCTTTTTATTTGCATGTTGGAATGGATATTCTTCAGAGCCTTGAGAAAAATGCCAAAGTCAAGTGTGTAACAAAAAGATATACTCTATACAATATTAACAATATAGACACATACATATATATTATTTTATTTGTTTGAGGTTTACAATGCTTTGATACTTTTAGCTGATTTGCAGATGTGGGTATGCCACTCTCCACCATGTTGTGGACAAATCCAAAGAGGATCGCATGGAGAGCTTCTTCCTCAGTGAGACGTGCAAATACCTTTACCTGGTGAGTTACAGCTGAATGTTGTTTTGATAAGAAGCTATTGAAATAAAGACTTTAAAGACTTGAGTGCAAGTGAGTGGTACTATTTTTGAACCGCAACCACATATTGTAATATCCTTACATTTTAAATTATTGCTGCAATTGATGTAAATTCTTTCACCATTTCCAATGTTAGCATCCTCAAACCTAGTGGTATTTTCATCTAAATACTTAACAAGCTGAAAACAGAAAAATACCAATTGATGCCATTGTTGTTCTAGGAATGAGTTGGAAGCATCACAATTCACATCTGTTTGTGGCTCAGAAATAGCAGATAAATAAGCAGGTCCTGCAGGAATCTGGCACGCTGATGCTCTGTTCAGACGTATGGTGTTAGTTTGGATTAGCTCAAGACATAAAAATGGATAGGAATTGATCTGAAAGCCTACAAACAATCCATATGTTGTATCTAATACCTAGAGAGCATTAGAGAAATGATTTGTTTTAAAAAATGCGTTACTAAGAACACCATAGCATTCCCTCTACATGTTTCCACACTATGAATGTCAGTCCCCCGTCGCCCTCTTTTGGTCCTATAGACAACAATCTCTATCTTTCGTTGCAGCTGTTTGATGAGGACAACCCACTTCACAAATCCGATAACAAGTACATCTTCACCACAGAGGGTCACATTGTGCCTATAGATAAGCGCTTCAGGGAGAAACAGTGGGATGATGAGTTTCCTTGTGAAGAGGCAGTGCTGGCCGAGCAAAAGCCAATCAACCGGAAACCACCACCGAGCAACAACAGCAATGTAAGGAATCATCTTCACCCAACCCACTATTCACTATTTTCAGCGTCGTTCTTGACTTAAAATGTATTAAGATTTCTTTCTTAGAAAAGAGTATTAGAGCCAGGCTTAATTGCATGAGAATAAAGTGAAAATGTCGAGAATAAAATCGAAGTAAGAGAGTAAAGTCATACTTTAAATATTATTGCAAGGGAGGAATACAAATATTAATTTAAAGTATTGTCATAATTAGAATCAGAATTAAGTCTCCCTTATGTGTCCCAGAGTGCAGAAGTGTGTTACAATAGCAAAGAGACAGTGCAGATACAAATAAAATGAGAAAGCTAATAAAGAAAAATACTAGCATTAGATCATAAACTGAGAGTTCAACTTAATTCTCGGCAATTGAACTTTAAATGGATTCTATAAATAGAGGGGAAAAGAATATCCTCCTTTTTCTGTATCACGGCCATCATATAGCTACCTTCTTCTTTTTCACTCTCTCAGTGCAACAGGATCCCAGAGGAGCGACGGTACACTCTGCCGTTAAAGAGTGTGTACATGAGGCAGATTGATCACATGGTGGGACTTTTCTGAGTGAGAAGATGCATTCAGTGACTTTTACATAAACAGGCCTTCAGTTCACCCCCCCTCAGGCGCAGGTGAGGTTAAAGAGGATCCACTGTTGGTCCAAATCCTCGTCCCATTTGTTCCACTGCTCTGGATCCAGACAGGAAACTGACACTAAGGGAAACCTGAGAAAGCAGATGGATCACTTGCTGTATTTCTTTAAAGTGTGTGTGGGTGTTTCCGCTCTTTGGTGAAGGAGCATGTGGTCGACAACTGTGAACAACTTTTTTGCTGGAAGATGAGGAGTCATGCTTAGTCACTTATTGCCTGGTGACAAATCTCAAAAGTGGATTTTAGAATTACTGGTGTGTTTTTTGTCTTTTTTAGGGATTGGTTCAGGTATGAGTGTGTAAATGTGTGTGTGTGTGATTGTATGCACATTTGAAATAACAGCTGAGCTGTGAGTCATGATGTGTTTTGGGTTAAAGTGCCATCTAGCCACACGTATGTAAAATATTAAGCCACTCACCTCCTAGAATATCTCTCTCAACATGATGATTAGTGCCTCCTTGGCAAATATCCTCTAGACTAGACGCGTGCTTTTAAATAAGGGCTGCTCTTTCACAGTCATTGACAGAGAGAGAGAGGCTCAGGATGAATCTCGCAGTTTTTAAAGTGCCTTCAGTTTTTCCATGGTCTTCCTGAATGCAGCAAATGTTTTGGTGGATACCATTGTCAAGTATTCTTTGAAGCCATTGTTGATATTGCACAATATGTCATTCCATGTGTATGTACAGTTTTACACTAATTATCATGACATTTAGCTCTTTCTTTTTTAAATACACAAACAAGCCATACGGTGTCTTTTTTTAATGTCAGCCATCTTTAGTTCACAGACTCTCCTGCAGAGATTATTGTAGATGGAATTAGCTTTTTGTTCTTTCTGTTTCATAATTGCACATCATAATGCCTATTAATTATCATGTGGTAAGAACTCAGGGTTTAACGGAAACACTTAAATCAAGGATTGCTTTCTTAGAAAAATAAAACTTTCTTAAATTGTTGTTGCTTAATGTCTTAGGATAGTCTTTGGTATTTAATTTATATTGCAAATCTTCCAACTTGGTTTTCTGAGGTCAGCAAATGAACACAACAAACTGAAGTACAGTTTTACTGTGAATATTCATTATTTTTCCACACAAAGAAAAGTGTGTGACGTTTGATTCCTTAACAGCTCTACTCATGTATCCCTCCTGGACATCTTGTGCCAAACATGCAGAGTGTCTGCTCAGCAGAGCTGCAGGCGGCATGGCTCGATAACATCGTAGCATCGGCATCTTTCTTCTGGCTTTGGGAGACAGCTGTTTATATTCTCAAGTGTTTGCTATAGGAGTGAATTATTTTTAATTAGCTGACATCACCCCTTTGTTTCAGTATATTTAAAAAAGATTGTAACATTTTGAGAGTTCACTTTTCTTGCTAGTGTTCTACAAATGAGTTGGAAGCATCAAAATTCACATCTGTTTGTGGCTCAGAAATAACAGATAAATAAGCAGGTCCTGCAGGAATCTGGCACGCTGATGCTCTGTTCAGACGTATGGTGTTAGTTTGGATTAGCTCAAGACATACAAATTGATAGAAATTAATCTGGTAGCCTACAAACAACCTAGATATTGTATGTAGTAACTAGAGAGCATTAGAGATGATTTTTTTTTTTACAAGTGGACAGTCAGTCTTTGTGCTAAGCTACAGCAGTAACCAGCTGTCGGCTGTATTGTGGAATTTGCCTAACATATTATTGAAGTTCTCAGCAAACTTTCTCAACAAAATCAAACTAATGTTTTATCCAAAATGTCAAACTATAATATTATTAAAAGGTAGAAGCTCTTCCATTCGGAATAATAGTGGTTTAATAATTGTTGAAAATGAAACTGAAACATTCTGTGAAACTAATAAAAGACCGATTATGAACAAGACATTTCTGTGTTGGTTTTTATTTGTGAAAAATGGAAAACAACTCAGTTTTCTACAGAAGCTTTAATAGGTTTAATGATGAAGCTTTTAGAGTTTACAAACATTGGTCTTTTAGACAGTAATTTTAAGGTTGAAGTGTATGACAGCTAGGCTTCCATTCAGCAGTGTTACAAATCCACATGGTTTCAACACACTTCATGAATTTCCCATTAGAAAACAGTTTAATTATGTACACTAGCCCTTTCCAACTATTTCAATATCATATGATCTAACTCTTAACTTAAAAAAAAAAAAATTGTTAACCTGTTTGAACTGTGACTCAGATTGTGCTGCAGAGTTCCTGTACATAAAAACCACTAGTTTTGGAAAAATCTGCATCTGGAGGGGCTTTCTGTCTGTTTTCTGACCAGGTATTGCAACACCGGTGCATTGGACCGACAGATTTTTTTTTTACATCCTTCATTTTATGCAGAACTATACGCATTGGATTTCTTAACAACATATTGATTAGACAATCTCAAGAGATTCAGGAGAAAAGTCAAAATACAGAAAGAAAAATGTAACTCATCTGAAATCTGCACATGATTTTCTGACTGAAGAGCTGTCTTCTCGTCTAAGTCGTTGGTCAAAGCTACAACTTAGTTTTGAACACAGTGAATTGATTTGTTTGTGTGTTTGATGGATATAGAGAACAGTTTTCATTTTCAGGCTTCAGTTTGAATGCAGAGGGGATTTGTGGAATGTGACAGGGCTGCATCACCCTGTAAAAAAGAAAGAAAGTGACACTGCTTATAAGCTGGTCCAAAAGAGACTCTGGAACACTTTCACAATACAGAGCAAACGTACCTCACCTTCATTGTGTTTCTCAGCCTGGCTTTTAGAAGAGACCACAATCCTTCAGGTTTTCTTTGATGATGATGTCGGTCACGGCATCAAACACAAACTTGACGTTCTCTGTGTCTGTGGCACAGGTCATGTGAGAGTAGATTTCTTTTATGTCTTTCCGCAGGTTCAGGTCCAAAAACTGCATTTTGATGTATAAACCAGCATCCTCATAAGTATTGGGGCCTTGGTGAAAAATACATAAAGATAAATGAGCACTTTTAATCAGTTTGTCACGTTTCAATATGCTGCAAATTCTGTGTTTGATCCATCTCACCATCGTATTCAGGGAAGCACATGCTGAGATGAGCTTTCTTGATCTTCTCAACAAACACGTCTTTCTTGTTGAGGAAGAGTACAATGGAGGTTGCGATAAAATAGCGGTGGTTGCAGATACTGTTGAACAAATGCAGACTCTCGTGCATTCGATTCTGAAAATGTTTGACACAAAGACAGAAGAAAGACCCATTGAAACTAGCCAGCTGTTGATTTTCCCCAAAAAGAAACAAATAGTGTCCTATAGAATATGTGTGAGATATTACTGTTATCATACCACTTCATCATCCTCCACCAGGACCATATCAAAGGCGCTTAAAGCACCAATGAAGATGATACAGGTCACACCCTCAAAACAGTGGATCCATTTCTTCCTCTCTGACCTCTGGCCACCCACATCAAACATTCTGCATGGAAACAGAAACACATTATCTTTATGATTGCAATCCAGCACACTTTTACCACTGCCAATGAATTATTGTTGCCATCCTTGTGGGAAATACTGCACTGCTTCACCTGAAATGCAGATCTTTGAAGGAAAACGTGGTCTCGATGATACCAGTGGTCTTCACTCTTGATCGCAGCACATCCTGCTCAGTGGGCACGTAGCCTGGTTGGACCAAGCGCTCCAAGTCATTCAGGTAGCTGAGGGAAAACAACATTGATAGCAAACTCCAATGTGGTGGTCGAGCAATATTAATTATTATTATTATTATTTAGAGAGCAGGGCGGCTGATGATCAACATAAAGCCTTATGTTAAAGTTATGTTGTCAGATTTTTTGCTTTTTTATTTAATCTGAGTAATACAACAATCTCAGTTTGGTGATTTCTTACTATCCAGCGGAGTCGTTGAGCTGATACTCTGAGGCTCGTTCGAAGCACACTTTTATGCCAGAGTCGTTCCATAGGCGAATAATAATGTCCGCTAACTCTTTGGGCATGGAGCCTTCCTCAATGGTGTCTGCAAGATGCATGAGTTTCCTGGCATCATCCTGCAGGACGGATGCAAGGGGACAGGGACGAACACAGTGTATGTTAAGCAGTCTGCTGCAAACATAAACACAATTTATGCAAATGTCTATTTTAGCTGTTACCTGCTGATCAGAGTGGCCAAAGCCAATATTGAATGTGCTCATGGCCTTCACAATGGCCATCATAGACTGCAGGGTGTTGCTGTAGATGATGACAACGAACTCCATGCATTCTTCAAGTGAGTAGCCGTCTTTGTGGATAATTCTGAAGAGAAAATACAGAATGATTTACAGTCTCACAGAGAAAAAAACGAGACATTGCTTTAGTGCAAAAGTCAAAAATGTTACTTCATCTGTTTGACGATAGTGCTTTTGCCTGATTCTCCAGCGCCTAGATGAAAGTAGAAAAGACATAACATTTAGTTATTCCGATGAAATAAAAATAAAAAATGCATTTATTGGAAACTTTATTCGAACATTTATGAGGATTTGGTAATTCTTCTTAATCATGATTGTGGGTTACGTTCATGTAAGAGGAGGCACTACATGCCAGACTTTAGCACTATAGTCTTCACATTGATAAATGTATTGGTCCTTAAATAAAAAGGTCCTGTTTGATTATATGATGTATGAGGGTCATTGTACAGTACTTAGTTGGGCAGTATTGTATCTGTGTCCTTCAGAGTTAATCTCTTTGTGTTGGAGACCTGTTGTTTCAGGATTAACAGGGGATTGGATTGAATGATTAATAAAGTGTCTAAGCAATCCAATGACACCGGTTAATAAGCCTTTACTTTACTCAAACATGCTGCTTGTTTTCACCACAAGCACCATGCACTTTAGTAAGTATGTAAAGGTAATCCAGATTAAAAGGATCTATTCATAACAGACTTCAGTCAACAAGGTCTTTCTGTGTTGATAACTTGAACGTATGAGAGATCAAACCAAACATTTTACAACGGACGAAGTAATGCACCACCTACAATTAAATCCCATAAATAGATATGTTTACTATATCTCTAGGTATAAATAGCCTCACCATGGGGCATTTATTGGTCCCGTACATGTGTTTAACCCTAATGATTAGGGTTCCTGTTATTGAATCCATCTCGATCATCTTTACCTAGCAGTAGCAGCTTGACAGTTCTCGCATCCATGTCGGCATCCTCCTTCAGCTTCTTCTCCAGCTCCCTGGAGTGTTTATCCTCGGCGCTCGCTCCAGCCCCCATCCTGCCTTTTCCCTGCTTGGGCCCCTCTGCTCAAAGCCAAGTGTCAGGAAAAAATGAAAGTTGGTCCAAGATGATTGCCTACTATCTCAACAGTTTTGTCAACTGCCGTCAGCACTGGAGAACACTGGAGACTGTTTGAGTGTTCTCGTCTTAGGAGAGGATTTTGGGCATCCTCTGCTCACCTGACCCCCAATGGCCAATGGAGCACAAGGACAGGAGTCTTTTAGGGAATCCAAAGGTGTGAGGAGAAGCAGACATACATCAGTGTAGGAGTGATCTGACCTTTAGGGTGACATTGCTGTGTCAGCGGAAGATGAACATCGGCTCAAGTGCTTATCTCTCTATGCAGTCCTTAGGCGCCTTTAAAAGAGAAGCATGTGAAGTAAAATAATTTGGTGTTGAGTGTGCTTAGCTATGGAAACTCAGCTTTCCAAACTAATTAATCACATCACGACCAAAATAAGAATGTGTGACTTAGTGTGGTCCTCAGTGTATAGTGTTTTCAAAGTGGTTGAATAGAGGAATTACAACAAAACTAACTGCCGTATGCTACACACACTATAACATACAGCAAGTTTGGGCCCCTGAAAAAAAAGAAAAAGACCTCTCACCTCTCAGTCGAAAACAAAAAGAAAGACAACATGACATTTATTTTAGGGTAATACAGACTGCTGGGTTAGCCTTGCATAGCTTACAGAGCTTTGCAGTTTCATCTGACAGATTTCATTGACCTAAATCTGAAGCTGGTTAAGGATACTAATCTACTCACTTTCAATTATGTATTCATGCATGTGCAGTATGTGAGCTTTCACAGTGTATTCTAACTTTCCTATTTGTTAAAAAATATGTTTTGTTTAAGAAGTGCATTAAGTTGATCATTATATATTTAACTTTTCTTGTTGACTCTTTTGTGGAGTCAACATTGCTCAAGATCCCGAGTCACTTCTGTGAATGCTGCAGTGCTGCAGCTGAGCCGTGAAGCAACGCAACTACATTAAGTCAAATACTGCAAGCATTTCAAGTACTTGTTCTTCTTTCGAATATTTACTTTTCATGTAACTTCATCATACTATGTTCTATTCCAAAGGTTACTACTGTACGTGTGGCTCCAGTTTTACTCCATTAATTTAAATGAACAAATACATAATAATAATAATAATATTGATAATACGTGAAATAGTATGAACATCAATTAATACATTTTCTGCATTGTGTACTTTTACGTTTTAATTAAGAACATTTTGCTGAGAATACTTTTATTTACAGTAAGCGACATTTCTAACTAAGGGAGGACCTTTACTTGAAATGATGTATTTTACACTGTGGTACTGCTACTTTTTACTTAATTAAAGGATCTGTATACTTTCACCACTGCAAATCAGTAAAACAACGATCAATGTCTTTACATATCACACAAAAGGGCCTGCAGACTATATTTCAAACAGAACAGAACCTCTGTTATTATAAAATATAGAGCTTTAATTTATTAGTCAGCAACATTGATGAGGAAGAAAAGATAGTACTTTTTTTTACAAGTCATTAAAATAACATCAACTGTGCATTATATCATACATTACTCTACCTCAATGACCCCGAGCAAAGTCTGCCAAACAGAGAAAAAAAATGAATGCACATGTTTGAAATATGCACATTTCTAAGAGAGAGAGAGAGAGAGAGAAAAAGGAGACTAAGAGACGTACAGAGAGAGAAAGAGAGAGAAATGGAGAAAGAGAGAATTTAAAATCATTATCTTTCAGCATCTTCTGATAGTGTTTCAATATTCCCACAACGAGAAAGACATTCACTGACATCCACAGCAACATAGCATTTTAGACAAATACCATATACATTACACTGTACATGCCATGCACAATGAAAAGCCACCTTCTGAAGATTTTGTTACGCGTTTCTCTTCAGGTTATGTGGTGAACAGCTTGGAGTTGTTCTTGTGACACTTTTTTTTATTTCACTGTATGGAAGTTTTATATTAGGTCTGTGGCACATATGAAAGCAGGATGGCACTGCATGACTGATAAAAAAAGGAGCGCTGTGTTGTTAACCAGTTCAAATGAAAATACAGAAGAAAATACAGAAGCAATAAAATGCTCATTTCAGAGCTCTGCATTCGGCATTTTTGTTGTTGTAATCAAATATAAAGTATAGACTGATTACATGATTAATATTCACTTTGTGAAATCCTTATCTAGAATGAAACTGGCAGGAATGGAAACTTTAGATTCATTAGGAGCTAAAGAAAAACAACCTTTGAGCATACAAATGACATGCTCTTTCTTATATGAATATACTGCATATGCCACAGATACAAGTGAAATATTTACCGTTTGTTTGGCAACAGAAGGTGCTTTGTCTCTAAAAATGTTTTTATCACAAACTGTCACAAAGTCACATATAGCTGCCTGCTGGAATTTCTTTTCTCAGAAGAGAATAGAAAAGGCAATGTTATATTTTTAGTCGTTAAAGGACCCTTTTCCTCCAAAAAACAGCTTATCACAAAGATCACGTTTGTTAAGGATACAACATTGAGATGTGATATTCACATACAAACAAAACAAACACTTGGCAGCAACTGATTTTCTGAAGAATTTGGGTGGATGATGTAACTCCATAACCTGAGGCCAGGCTGGACCACAGACAGGAACGGAGAGACGTCTTACTTTATGTGTGCGACATGTTATCACAGCTGAAGTCTCACTGTCGTCATTTCTTTTTATCATTGCCTGTCCCAAGAAATGCCATTATCAGTATGTCCACAGCTTGTTTTTGCAGTAAAAAAAAAACTGTCTGATATACAGTAGATGGTTCTGAAGAAGAAGTTTAGGGAAGTTTGATTTCACTGAACCAGCGCCTCGACTTCCAGCTGAAACAATGAATACTGCCAGCAGTCAGGTGATCCAACATGGTCACCTGTAACAGTTTCTGGTTCATCGGTCCTTGTCCATGTGTGGATCCTCCCAAAGTCCTGGGTTATTGTTGCTGTTTCTCAAAAACACCAAACATAAAGATATTCTCAACATAATAACACATCGTAATAAACAATAACACTAACAATAATATTATAATAACAACAATATTTGCACAAATTTACCTATTCACAAAAAAAAACTAGATAGGTACAAAGAATTACTTTTTACAACCTACAATAAATATTGTGTATTTTTGTTCCAACAGTTACATAGAAACAGTTTGATGCTGTTGCTTCTGGTTGCAGTTTCTGTCTTGTCCGTTATAATCAGCTTTCTAACTGGAGTCAATCCCCTGAATGGAGGGATGCAGTGTTTCAGGAGTGAGCAGGTAGACTGTAGGACGATGAGTTGTGTATCTAGCTCCTCATGTCTCAGATGGAGTTGTTAGCTCATCATGATGCCGACGGTTGCGAGGCTTCTTCTGCTCTTTCAGCTCCTTCAGGTTTTTGGCTTTGTTGTCCCCGAGGCTGACGTCTCCGAGCTGCCAGTAATCCTGGCAGTACTGGTTGATCAGGCCCATCTCCGGCTGGCTCAGGATGGTCAGCAGGTCCTTATACTGACCGGCACTCGGAGTCCAGGCGCTGGACTGCAGGGGGGGGAGGGCCGGGCTGCCCGTATCCACCAACACGTTGTTGACCGTGCGACTGGAGAGGACCACGAGCTGCAGTTTGACGAGTGTGTGTTTGAAATTCTTCTCTGTGGACGTGCACTGGTAGATGCCGCTGTCAGAGGACTGCAGAGAGCGGATCAGGAGACCTTCCTCCGTTTTTAGGATGCGACCCTCTGAGCGGATCTGTAAAATCATTTTTAAGATGTTAAATGTGATGTTTAAGTACTGTATTCACTTACTTGAAACAAAACTATAACTGCTTCAAATGGTGTACAAATACTGTGATATAATATTGGATTACAATCATAGGTTAAATAAATGAGTTCATCACACAAATGTTGCAGCTAGTAAAGGATAAGCTTATTTTTTTAAACGATATGTTACCAATGGATCAATCAAGTTTAACTAAGACTATAACAATACTTAATAAATGATTTGTTGATTATATGTTGTATTATTAAACAGGATCTTAGTCTTCAGAGTAACATAATCAACATGTTGAATGCAGTGAATTAAAAAGAGCAATATATGCCTCTTACTTATGGTGGCAAAAAAGTACTAAGTTGCCGGAATTGGAAAAATACTCGGGGAAAGAAGTTCAAAATTATACTCAGTATAGTTCTCGACTAAATGTACTTAATGACTTTCCACCCCTGACTGCCTCACAGTGAGAGCTTTGCTCACCTCTTTCCTCCTGTCGCTGTTTTCCTTCTGCAGATGCCACTTGAGAGACACATGAGGAGACCGGGCCTGGCACTCCAGGAACGTCGTGCTGCCCTCCACCCCATACTGCATAGACTCCAGGGTATTCTTATTGGCTAAAAAAACAATATGTAGAATATATCTTACGACTTATTCCTAAAAATATGTATGGATTATACAGATTGATAGATTAAGCAGAATCAATGAGGTAAGTGATATATAAATGAGAATAGGCAACCTGCAGGCACTATAATAATTGAAATCATATTCCTATTTCCCTTTTTGTTGCAAGTTAGGTTCCTAATTTGTGTGTGTACTGTATAGGCTTAACACAAAGTTGCTCTGATACTCACTGTTGGAGTTATATCCTCTGCATTGGCGAATCGGATTGCCATACTTTACATCCTGCCTACGGCTCCGTCTAGAGGGGTCAGATCAACATTCAAAAACAAAAAGCAAAACGTTAACATTTTGAAAATCTTAAGTGCCAAAGCAGGAGAGCAAAGGTAGTGCACACACACACAAATGAGTATTGTATTTATCGCATGCATGTGTACACTATTTTAAACCTAACCTCTTCTGGGAGGATGAGTATCTGGAGCAGGACTTCCCGTCCCAGGCGCAGTAAGGGTCTCTGGCCAGACAGCAGTCAGCGCAGACCTCTCCGTACACGTCACAGCGATGGAGAGCCAGGTGAGACACCCCCAAGACCGACCCCACGTACAGTTGTTGCTATTAATTAAAAAAAAGAAAGAACAGAGATAAAGATCAGAAAATAAAAGAATCATATAAACATTACATACCACTTGAATACATTGGCCTGCAATTTCTTTATGATTTTCTACAGAGACTAAAAAGAAGTTATGATATAATTTAGTAATTTAAAGTGGACCTATCATGCTATATTTTAATAATATATTGTAGGGCCATACCTATATTAGGTATATTTATGTTTTCTTTTTCAAAATACCAAACAGATCATGCATTTTAGCCATGCCTCATTTCGCTCTATTTTGCTCTCCTCCATCCTGTCTTTGCATGCCCTGCAGCTGACCACGCCCCCCTGCAAAGGAGGGGGCCGAGTTACGAGCGTCATGTTACCATGCCGTTACCATGCCAACCTCTAATTCCCCTGATTGGTGGAGAGTTGGCCATATAGGCGGAGCTCCTCGTCACTGACTTCAGACTATTTTCAAATCTATATCAGTCTGTATCAGATAGTGATGGGAATTCCGGCTCTTCTTGGTGAGCCGGATCATTTGGCTCGGCTGACCAAGAAGAGCCGGCTCTTTTGGCTCCCAAACGGCTCTTCAGTTTACCACATATTATACCTTTTATAATTCAATCAAATGTAGCCCTGTTTTGACTAAGGATTTATATGTGTACACATATAACACTTAAATTATTCAATACATCCTTTATACTAGGGGTGCACCGAATGGGAAATTCTTGGCCGAAACCGATACCGAAAATAGGAAACAGTTGGCCGAAAACCGAATGCCGAAAGGCCGAAAATGATTAATAGAAATATATATATATAATGTAATGTATACATTTTTTACCAATGTTGTTCAGCTACCTGATTATGGAAAAAGACATGATTATGGCAAAACTTAACTTAAATAATAATCACTATTATGGGTCCATAAAACATTTATTCAGCACTTTTGAATGCATACAGTACATTAATTCCAAGTCAAGTGCATTTTCTCTGTAGGATAACTACAACAAAGTGCATTCAGAACAAAGCCAAGGTGCATAAACATCTAGGCCAGTAGGCCTACAACAAAATAGTGTAAATAAAGACTGTA